TGCATTAGCATGTAGGGTCCAGCCCCACAGGCTTGCTAGAGACCACCCAGGCACCACCCAGGAACAGACCATACAAGGGGAAATTGTAAGATTTTAGACAATTCTGAAGCCATTTCTGACAATTCCAAACCCTCTCAGCCTCTGTGCCTTAGTGCTTCTCCTCCTCCCCTGGGAACCAAGGACCTAACAGCTACACATGCACGTACTCAGTTCCTGAACAATTACCCATACACGTATGTTTTGACCCAGTCCCCTGGGAAACGGGGTCAAAATGACCTCTTACCTCATCTATTCTGACAATAGTTCTCCAGTCAATTATTGGTATTAGCCCTTTTCGAATAAGCCAATCATAATGGTCAAGGAACAACCCCTCTTGTTTCTATGGGACCTTCTTTAAAAGTAGACTGTACCAGTTTGTCGGGGTCTCTCGGCTTCCCGAATGCTGAGGGACCCTGTCGTGACAGAATTAATAAAATCCTCATGCTTTTGCATCTGCTGTAGTGTATGAGGTGGTCTCTGGGGGCGACTCCTTCTCGGTTTGGACACTAGAGTCCAACAAAATATTTAACATTCCAGCCGTTATAGATAGAATCACCTGATGCCCCTTAGTCCAGCATCACCCATCCCTTTCACCAAGACACCTAGACAAATGTCAGCCAATCAGGGGCCCTGGACCTTAAAAATCCCTTCACCCCAACCTCTGCTGTGATAGAAACCCCACCCCAATTGGACTCGTAGCTCTCGACGTCACTGCTACGTCAGAAGGATGGAGGGTCCAAGCTCAAGCTTGAATATAGACTCTTTGTTTCTGCATACAGATGCAGACTCCGTGGTGGATTGGGGGACCCTGTGATCTGGGACTAACAAACGTATGACTGGTGCCTATTGTCAAAGTCAAGGCTAGCTTCCTCAGTCCCTTGTGGATTTCAAGCCACACCCTAGCTCACATGCCCCTTTTCTCCATTTAATCCTGTGTGCAATAAAAGGTGTAGTTTTTTTCAATTAAACACTGCTGGCAGCCATCCTGATTTACTGTCAGATCATGTCTGTACCTCCCACCCCCAACTCCATACATCTTTGGAACTTTAACCTGAAGAACCAAAGTTCCTCCATTTTGTCCTTTACCTCATTTTGTATAATCTATTTTCCGTAAAATGGTCCAGTCCTTAGAAATGGCTTGGGCCAGAAATAACAGGGTAGTCACCTGGAGAGTACAGATAACTGCAGATTGTCCCCACCCGAAGGTCAGCTGACAAGCAACAGGTGAGGCTCAAAAATAAAATTTCTGAAAAGTCCCTAGACATGAGCCAATCAGCATTGAACCTGTCACCTCACACCCTGCTAAGGTAACTTTTCTGGCTTTTGCCCTTAAATAATGCCCTCTAGAAAGGCAGGGTATGTCCTCTGGCTGCTGCGCTGACAAGGTCCCTGCACACAATAATCCTTGCTTTTGCATTTTGGTGAGTTGATCTCCCTGGTGGTCTTTTGGGTCCCCATGAACTGGGCATAATAAACCCCATGCTGAAGCAAGTCTCTGGTAGTTTCCAGTTGTCTGAATGAGGGGTGTACTGAGGATTACCTCGTCTCCTTTGGAGAGTAACATAAGGCTATGGACATTACAAGTTTGGCATTTCACCTGATATTTGCTAGAAGATGTGCAGGGCCAGGGACAGCATAGGCTAACACGGAGCTGATGACTTTGTAGCTCTTCTTCTCAAAGGAACTGTTGAATAGTCATCAGTTCTTTCAAGGTGCTTCATGAGCTACTGTCTACCAAGGCCAAAACATATCCTTCAGTTGTATTTCTAAACAAGGACAGATTAAATCATACTATCTGTGCAGCAGGAAACAATCTTCAAATGCTGAAATGCTAGAAAAATGTCTAAAGGTTCCAAATATTCCAAGAAGAGATACTGTAATGGTCTGTCCTGTCCCTTTAAGAGACAAGCCCCGCCCACTCCCTCCCCCATCCACTGAGGCAAGCAGATCTTCCTTCTGCTCCCAGCCTGTGAATCCTTCCTTTCTGTCTCTCTCCCAAAGAGGTAGCTTCTGCCTCTCTCCCTTCTCTCTCCTTCTCCCCTCTCCCCTTCTCTGGTTCTCTTTCTCTCCCTCTGCCTCTCTCCTTATCCCCCTTCTCCTCCCTCTCCCCTTCCCTTCCATAATCCACTAAATAAATATCCAACCTCACTCTGCGTGGTGTGTGCCTGTCCATCTCTGTCTCCCACCCGCCCTGTGGCTCTATGCTGTACTTCCATTGTTTGGTTGGTAAAGGGTCCCAGGGGCTCCTGTAATACCAAATGAGTAACCTCATGTGTCCACCTGAAGTTTTACAGGTTGACCCCCTGTGCTGAAGGTTACCATAGGCTCCTGGGGGCCTGGTTTGAAGGAGCCTTGGTCTCACTAATCCTCCATAGCTAGGACTGGCTTGGGTTTGGGGGGACCTATCTGTTTCAGATGCAGACATTCATTCTTCCAATTACCCATTTTTTTGCCAGAGCCACTCTGGTCCTTTTGTAAAGGTCTCCTTTTTTTTTATCACGGTGTGCACGGGCAGTTGAGAGTGGCTGGGGCTTGGATTGCAGCCGCAGTGACATGCCCCATCTTCTTTATCAGAAGTTCTTCGTTGTCTCTGCCTTCGAAAACTTTCTGGGATACCTCTAATAGTTCTGACCTGTTCTTTCCTGCAAATCCATCTTTTTTCCCCCCTACATCTGCCAGAGGCATTCCTGGCTCTGCCACTTTTTTTTTTTTTAACAGAAGGTCAGGAGAAAGAGGGGGCAGTAAGCTTGGGAGATTTTATTGATTTGGGAGCATTTTCAGGAAATTATTAGCTTTAATGCTGTGGCAAGAATCTCAGGAGATAGTGCCAGCCTTTCCCTAGGATGGCAGGCAGAGAATGTCATCCACTTCAACCACAGCTGGAAGGCTGAACTGCCGTGACAGTAGAAAGAAGGCTGAACAGGTCCAGAAAATTGAACATGCTGGATAGATGTTCTATGTGAAGTGAGAGGCTCCCCAGTACCCGTGTACTGCAGAGAGGGCAGTGAAGAATGTCCTAGCCAAAAGGGCATTTGTATCTCTCTCCACTCCAAGGTCATTGTAGCTTTCCTCTGAGACCACAGCTGGTGATAGGGGAGGTCATTACAGAGTCTTCCTGATAGGAATAACAACAGTGAGGCACTATTAATAGAGACCGTGTGACAACACTCGGTGACATATGGTTACAGTCATGTATGTCAAGTTCAGAGGGTAGCCAGGTGTGACTGTTTTGCAGCTTCCTAGAGTGAGTGATAAGACATGATATCTTGTGATGGCTAGCGTTTAAAAATTGAATATTAGTTGAAAGGATTCTAGCCAGCCCAAGCATTGGAAACACAACTCTGACAGACCTTGCCCTTCTCCCTCATTCCCTCTGCTTTGCTTAAAACCATTACCTTACATTCCTAGTCATAAAGAAGGTCTGTTCCCTCATTTGGTCACTTCCTCTTTCTGATGCTAACTACCAAGGTCCAGCTATCAGAAGCCCCCTTTTGGCTGCCCTAATTAACATACCCAATCAAAATTAAATACCTCTTTCTATCAAGGCAATGGTGGCACACAACATTAAACCCAGCACTCAGGACGCAGAGACAAACTCACAAATCTCTGTGAGTTCGAGGCCAGCCTGATTTGCAAAGTGAGTTCCAAGACAGGCTCTAAAGCTACACAGAGAAACCCTGTCTCGAAAAAATAAATAAATAAAAAAATAAATAAAAAACAAAATCCCCCCCGAAAAAACCTCATTCTAACTCAACTCAACTTTAGCTTTACAAACTGCCATTTGTCTGTGTGCAGCTACCGTCTCCTCTCTATGCAGAGGCAGTTCTTTGTCAAGCCCCACTCCCCCACCCCCCAGGACAAATATCCCTTGTTCCTCACCCTTTCTCCCTCCTTCATCACCTGTCTTTGTCTCTCAGTCTCTCATCTCCTGCCTTTGGTGCCTCTAGGGTGAATAAACCTTTGTGTTGAGGGTGTCTTGAGCTGATACTGGTCCCTTCATTAGTAAACTGTATACATGTATGGGGTACAAAAGGATGTAATGACATATGTATACAATGTGGAATTATTGAATCAACCTAATACACATATCCATCATTGTATTCGTTGTTCAGTAAGTATTTATTGTTCATTCCTCTTATCTAATTGAGTGATTATATCTTTTAGTCAATAACTTGTTCATCTCCTATCATTCCCAGCCTCTGGTAACCAACATTCTTATCTCTGCTTTTATGAGTTCTATTGTTTTAGATTTCACAAGTCACTAAGAACACTTTGCTTTTCTAGGTTTTGGGGCAGCCAATTTAATGTGTCAACTTTGTTGAGCCATGACATCGATGATCATTATCATTCTAGATGTTTCTGTGCAAGTGTATTTGGAGATTAGTTTTTTTTTTCTTTTTTAAGACAGGATCTCTATATAGCTCTACCCATCCTGAAACTCACTGTGTAGACCAGGCTGGTCTCAAACTCAAATAGATCTGCCTGCCTCTTCCTGCGGAGTGCTGGGATTAAAGGCCTGTGTCCCCATGCCCAGCAGGGGAGGTTAACACTTAAATTAGTGAACTTTAAGTAAATGGATCAGTTTTCATAATGTGGGTGGGAATAGAATGAAAGGCTGGTCTCTGAGCAAAGCGGAAGTCTCCTGAAGACTGCCTTTGGACTTCATTGACAACACTGGCTTGTTTGTTTCTAGGTAGATGGCTTTGCAGTCCAGCTGCAGCATCAGGTCTTCTGAGTCTGCAGCCTGAAGACTTCCGACCTCACAGCCTCCATGGGAGAAGTGAGGCTCATTGGTTATATAACAAACACAACAGAACAAATAAGCATCATATAGATTCTGTTTCTCTGAATCACCCCGGTTGTAACATGGGAAGAGAACCTACTTAATATGTCCAAAGGAGGTGCCGTGCATGTGACCTGGTGTGCTTCCAGTTTCCGTCTCTAAGAAAACATTTGAGGGATTAACTTGTTGAAAGGGTTATTTTAGTTCACACTTTTGAAGGCTTCCGTGACAATCTTTACTATTTTAAATCAGGTCGCATTAATAACATACATCAAGTTTATACCATATTTTACTTTTCTCGTCATTCTGGGAAAAAAAACAACAAGAAATTAGGATAGCAAACATCTATCCTTCCATGGAATGTATTCTTAAAATTAAATATATGGAACACAAATTTCCAAGTGTGGAATTCACATATAGAAGGCATAATTCAACACCATAACTACATTAGTAGTCATGGATGTCACAGTTACAACAATGTGTTAGGCACTACTTTATTAGGCACAAAAATTCTACCCAGAGAGTTAACAACGTGTACTCTTTTGTGATATGTCTTCATAAAACTTCTTCATTTTATGTTTTAGTGTGACTGTGTGCAGCAAACCAACTAGAATGAGTAGTGCCTGATTCAGACTGCCACCGCCCATGACTCAGGTCTCCTTGCTTCAGTTACTGGTGTCATCAAGGAGCATCAAGTCACACAGCACATCATTCAGGTTCAAGAGGATTGTTTCTTACTTCACAGGTGAAGATTGGTTGCCCAGGAGAAGATGGGTGGAAACATTTGAGGTTCAGAAAGGCTCTGAAGCATAAATGACTATTCATCAACTAGAGGATTTTTTTTTTGATTTTTCAAAACAGGGTTTCTCTGTGTAGCTTTGGAGCCTGTTCTGTAATTAGCTCTGTAGACCAGGCTGGCCTCGAACTCACAGAGATTCGCCTGTCTCTGCCTCCTGAGTGCTGGGATTAAAGGCAGGCGCCATCACTGCTCAGTCCAGCTGTGGGATTTCTATTCTACTGTTGATTGACTGATAGGAGATTTTGCTCTGTAGTAGTGACCCTGCTGTCTCTGAATTACAGCTGTGTACCACCACCCCTGGCTCTGCTACACTACTATTTTAAAATATAAAGGATCTGGCTCTAAGTGATGTTTCCTTTGAATTTCCAATCGAACTCTTTCCAGTGGGTCTTTAGTCTTTAGCTCATTCTTTCTGCTTGATCAGATCTAAGGAACTGTTCAAATACAGGGCACTCTGAAATTGCAGAAGTTAGGCCCTTCATTGAACCAAAAAGTATAGAAACAGACAATATCATTCTTAAAATTATTTTAGTAATCTAGATCCAGTTTTTCGATGAAGTAAAGCTCAATAAAGGTGTGTTAACAATACACAATTGTAGTTGGGCAGTGCTGGTGCATGCCTTTAATCCCAGCACTCAGGGAGGCAGAAGCAGGAGAATCTCTGTGAGTTCAAGGCCAGCCTGACCTACAAAGCAAGTTCCAGGACAACCAGAGATACACAGAGAAAACTTGTCTCAAAAAAAAAAAAATAATAATACACGATTGTGTTTGGTTGCTTGATGCTTTTGGAAGCGTAAATCCTCAGGTTTCCAGGCTTAAAAATTCTCTCTTACTTGCTCCTGTGGTGATGCAAGAACATAAAGACCACATTTGAAGAGCATTCTGATCACTTGGACATTTTGTTTCAGTTTACATACAATGAACCATCATGCCATTACATGTTCTGAAATTATTAGCACTGTGGATGAGCAGTCTCAATTAGGTATAAGTTTATTATACACTGAGTAGATTTTTGTTCATTTAAAAAAAATTCTAATGGCAATTAGCTACAGCATCTAGAGTATTAAATTTTAATAAGAGTAAATAAAGATAGTAATGATATAAAATAAAGTATGTCTTTTTTTAAAGGCAGGGTTTCACCACACAACTCTAGCTGTCCTGGAACTTGATCTGTAGACTAGGCTGACCTCAAATTCACAGAAATCCACCTACCACTGCCTCCTGAGTGCTAAGATTAAAGTTGTATATGTGGTTTCTAAGAAATCTGGGCAGCAACCAGGTAGTGGTGGTATACACTGTTAATCCTAGCACTTGGGAGGCAGAGGCAGGCAGATCTCTGTGAGTTCGAGCCTAGCCTGGTCTACAAAGTGAGCTCCAGGACAGCCAGGACTGTTACATAGAGAAAATCTAAAGAAAAAAGAAACCTGGGCAAACTCTTTTCTGCCTAGAGCAAATATTGACTGTTTTGGCATTATCATTCACATCCTCTATAACAATATATAAGAAACAGGCCAATTATATATACATATACACACATATACATACATACACGTATATATACAGTACTATATGGATGGATAGATTTGAGGTTATAGGTATACACATTCGGCAGTCTTTTTTTTGTTGTTTGTTTGTTTGTTTGTTTGGTTTTTTGAGACAGAGTTTCTCTGTCTGTGAACTCCCTCTGTAGACCAAGCTTGGCCTAGGACTCACAGAGATCCATCTGCCTCTGCCTCCTGAGTGGGATTAAAGGTGTATGTGACCATGCCAAGTGTATCACTCACCGTTGATACCTCCTCTATAAGGGGTAGGATGTGGGGAAATACCTCCTCCATAAACTCAAGGCAACTGGACCCAGCTTTACTTACCCTTTTACATTCCTCAACCATGAATGCATGCGCACACACACACACACACACACACACACACACATAAATGTTTCTGCCCTACAAGGATCAACTTTTTTGGGTTCCACCTTCTCATTTCTTCTTCCAGCTTCCTAATTCTATTCTGACTATAGATCACATCCTATCCTTGGTCTTTATTCAGCATTACTATTATTAAAGGTGTCCACTGAGAATGAACTCACACTTTAAATTTTCGTTGTTTAACTTGACAAGTAGAGTACAGGTACAGGAGGTACCTTATCCGGTCAGCTCTCCAGCATTTTAGATCAGGCCACTTTGGATGTGACGGAAAACTGTAATGTAAGACTTAGAATTGTAACAGTAAAATAGACTGCTTCGTGTGGGGAGAGGCAATTTGAATTCATTCCCACTAAACAGCCTGGGGATATAAAAGTGTTGACAATATAAATATTCAAAATGTTCATGGTGACATAACAAACTCTCTTCACAAGCACTATTAAAAATACACAAACCTAGAAAATGTTCAAGTGTTAATGTTTTAAAATACAATTAAATGCCCACTTCAAAGATTCACTAAAACATTTTCAGATGTAACTTTTTGAGTGGATTAATATTCCAAGAGTTTTCATCTCTATTGTTTATGCTTTAGAGAAACAGTGATTCATCAGAGGGTCAAGGTAGAAGGATAGAGGACAGCGCCAGCCAAGGACTCCCCTGGGTCCATGAAAACACACACCATCTTCTGGTACCTCCACATAGAAATAAAAGGAAAGAACACAAGGAAATATTCTCATCAACTGTAAATGTAATATGTCCAGAAGCAGCTGCGTCAGCAACACACATGTAAAATACCTTCTGCATTCAAAACTTTTTAACACCATCTGCTTGATTTTCAAAATAATTCCATAAAATTCAAATTAGTAAGCTCATTGTATAAGCCAGAAGAGTGATGGTCAAGAGATCGTAGGACATTCTTATGGTCTAATACTAACTAGTAGAGTAAAGGCAAGCTTAGAGCTTTGTTCTAAGCTTGTTACACTAAATGTAACAAATGGCTTGTTACACTATGCCATTTTGGTTTTCAAACAAATAAACTTACTATAGTTTAAGCATAAGAAACTTACAATCTCAAAAGGCAATTTCATTGGGTAATTAGATACCCTTCTGCGATTTATAGCATAAAACAGATATATACATTATAAAGTATTTAACACTGTGATCAAAATATCCCTTCCATGAATGTTCGATCAGAGTTAAAAATTAGGCATGGTTAAGCTACATGCCTTTTACCTCAGCACTCAAAGGCAGAAACAGGCAGATCTCTAACTTCAAATCCAGCCTAGTCTGTGTATTAAGTTCAACACCAACAAGGGCGACCAGAGTTAAAACCCTGTCTCAATCTCCATGCCAAAAAAGACACATACCCAGCACTTGGGAGAGAGACTGAGGCAGTGGGTCTGAGCTGTATAGAAAAGTTCTGAAAAAAAAAAAAAACAAACTAGTTTTAAAAAACTGAACTTGAACATCATTCACTTGAGTTTATCTTCCCTTCTATTGATGAGGTCGGAAAATTAAATGTGAATGCTAAAATCAAGTGGCTAACACCATTTTTCCTGTTTAGAACATCTTGTCTACTTTTACTGGAAATAAGATAATTTGGAAATTTGAAAAATTATTATGTATGTATATTGATAATTTTGACAATAGTTCAAAATAAACTGCTTTTTTTTCTTGAAAATGTCACTATTTTTTTTTCTTGACTAAATTTGTTTTTGCTTTCCTTGGCTAAGTCTGGACAGTGTATTATAGCATCAAACTATTTGCTACTGAGTGGTCCTTTTTGTTTCCTGTGAATATTTGCTCAAAATACCTCCTTTGAGGACTTACAAATATTGCCAAAAGTGACGATTCCAGGACCAATAAATCTAGAAACAAAAAGGAATATAAAATTTATTTTATTATGTTCTAAGAATGGCAAATCTGGTACTTTGAAAAGAAAACTTATATTTTTGTCCTAGTCAGTACTTCTGAGACTGCTTAAAAGTACTTTGCCTTTTCCCCCTCCAGTTTTTGTTTGCTTGTTTGTTTTTGTTGTTCTTGTTTTGGTTTTTCAAAACAGGGTTTCTCTGTGTAGCTTTGGAGCTGGCCCTGGAACTTGCTCTGTAGACCAGACTAGCCTCAAACTCACAAAAATCCACCTGCCTCTGCCTCCTGAGTGCTGGGATTAAAGGCAAGTACCACCACAGCCCGCTGCCCCCAGCCCCTCCAGTTTTGATGCTGGGATTAAATCTAGGTTTTCAGAAACTAAGGAAACATTCTACCACTGAACTATGGCCCCAGCCTGCAAGATGTACCTTATGCATTTTTCATATTATTTGGTGTATGTTGCTGCACACACTCATGTGTATTTGTGTGAGCACGTGTATGGCGGAGTGCATGTTGAGGTCAGGGGACAACTCCAAGTGAAATAGGTTCTTTCTTTCCACCACAGGGGTTCCGGAGATCAGACTCAGGTCTGCAAATTTGGTGGCAAGCTTCTTTATCTGAGTCATCTCGTTGGCCCTTCAGGTGCACTTTATATTTAATACTAATTAACTGAGGAGAATATAATCCTCATACATTTGTTTTAAGCCAGACTTCGTGTATACAAAAAAAATCCAATTTCAGTTGTCAAGAAAGATGAATAATACTGACACATCTGGACACTAAGGTCAGCTATATGTGAAGAAAGTGAGAATGGGTCTAATTTTGTAGACACTGGTTTCAGAAAGAAAGCTGTCTGCTTTCCCTCCTAACTCAGAAGACTACCCTCTCTGTTCGTGTAGCTGGTGAGCAGAGAGCGCTGTAGCCAGCAGCTTACGATGCTACCGTGGGTCTGGATATTTTGTGATGGTCACTCCTTGCGTTGTTCTCCTGTAAATGTTGACATGTATCCAGTAGCGTCTTGGCCTGTATACGACAGTTCTTTGGCGTGTTGCAGTCAGCAGAAGCACTCTCTCCTGGGCTTAACTGCTTCCTCAGAAGAATGCACGGTATTTGGAACAAAACCACTTTTAACCCCTTCCCAGCCATCCTGAATACAAATCTCCCCCTTCTTAATAAGTTCGTATATGTCTCTTGTCAAGATTGTGAAGGACTCCTCAACATTTGTAGCATCTTTTGCTGAGGTTTCTATATATTTCATTCCACAGTCTGTTGATAGTTGCTCGGCTTCTTCCCTTGACACCTGACGTTGTGATGCTAAATCACATTTGTGTCCCACCAGGAGAAATATAATATGAAAAGGCTGGACGTGCATTTTCGCCTCTTCCAGCCAATCTTTCACATGTTCAAAAGACCGTCTGTTAGTAATGTCAAATACTAAAAATCCACCAACTGAGTTGCGATAATAGGATCGAGTTATTGATCTGAAAAATAAAAAAGAGGTTGTGTAAGGTCAGTGTTCTTTGCTCCTCCTCTGAATAACAAAACACCAAAATCAAATTTGAAAATAACGTTATTTAAATAGAATTTATAAGTCCAATATGAAGTATCTTAGGTGAACAGAAATATACTGAGATTAACGCATATGCCCATTTCATGTATGGACAGAACTTTGAAGCCACATTTCTTAGACACATAAGAACCTTTGCAGCATGTCATCTTGTAGTGTCTTATGAGGTTTTAGTTTTAAGTATTTGATAGAAGAGTTATTACAAAATTGGGTTAAAAACAGATAGCTAATAGAGGACTGGATGTAACTCTGTAGTAGAGTACCTACATGCAGGAAGCCCTGAGTTCAGTCCCCACACCAAATATGGCATGCGTGGTGGCACACTCCTAGAATCCCTTCACACGGGAGGTGAAGGTAAGAGGATGAGAAGTTCAAGGTGGGGCTGAGAGCTAACCCACCCGGACGAGCACGTGCCATGCAGACATGAAGACCTACATTTGGTAGAACTCATGGAAAAAACCCTGGTGTGGCGGCTCAAAATTGTAATCCTAGCACTGGGGAGGTAGAGATAGGCAGACCTCTGGGGCTTGCTGGCCAGACACCTGAATGCCATCTATCCTTTCTCTCTGTCACACTCCCATTTATCCTTCAAAAGTTCCAGGAAAGTATTATCTGAGAAACCTTCCCAATCAAAGATTCCTTTCTCAAATAATCCCATCTAATAGTTAGCAGACTGCAATTACATTTTCATCCATTTTTATAATGTGCTGCCTGGATATGCAGGTGTGTCTCTGGCTCAATCCATGGTTCCCTGAAGGTCAAACATGTTTTATACATGTATCTTACATCCTATTGGCTGGCAAATCCTAGGAATCACAGAATGTTTGCTAAACAGGGCTGACAGTCAAAAGGGCAAAGGGAAGTGCTAACTGCCAAGGACCTCCCGAGTGTCAAGTTCAGGTTGTCAGTGCTCCACACTAAACTCACCTACTTGACCAAGGTACAGAGACCGCTCTGAAGGGGCAGTGGGATGCCCAGACGCTTGTGTTCACTACACTCCTCACTCCTAAAGCCCAACGCTGTGCCCGCCTTTGCTGCTAGGGCAGGTGTTTCCAGGACTTCTCGAGCACTCAGGAGGCCCTAGGTTCAATACTTAGTACTGCCAGAAAAACCCACCAGCTTTGCTTTCTGAGTGTGAAGAGCGTATGTAACCCCTCTCTTATTCACTCGCTTCCCTGTTGCTCAAAATTCATAAAATAGCCCCAAGTGACTCCCCTCCCTTCTCCTGTGCTTTCCTCCATCATTCTATTTTTGAGACATGGTTTCCCAAGTCCAGAATTGCTTTGTGGCCCAGCTGTCTTCCCAGCTCAGCCTCCTGAGTCCCAGCACTGTAGGCATGCACCATCAAGCTAGGCTTCAAGTGACAGTTTCTGGGGACTACAGTGCTGTACAAGCATTGATGACAAGAAAAATTGTCCTCATATTTAGCGGGATTTAAATAATCTAGTTAATTAAGGTGTTGCTATCTTCTTTCATTCTGTGGAATAATTAATTTGTTACTGTTCTGCCACTATTCTATCTGTATGTGTATGAATTCAGGCAGGTATCCCATGTCATCATAAGAATAATCCAAGCAAGCCTATGTTGTTAGGCCGAAACTTTATCAGCACCAAATCGGCCTTGCTCTCTATAACTTAACCATCAGTGTAATTGTATTATTTATTTATTTACTTTATGTGTATGTTATCTATGTTATATGTATTTGGGTACATGCATACCATGGCACATGTGGGTTTCAGAGGACAGCTTTCAAGGCTTGGTTTTTTTTTTTTCTTCCACCACGCAGGTTTTGGGATTGGTGGTGGTTTGAAAAAAAAAAATGGCCCCCAAAGGGAGTGGCACTGTTCGGAGGTGTGGCTTTGTTGGTATGGTATGTTTGTTGATAGGTTCTCATAGGAGGAAGTGTGTCACTGTGGAGGCTGGCTTTGAGGGCTCATATATGCACAGGCCATATCCCGTGAGACAGTCTTGTGCTGTTGCCTTCTGATCAAGATGTAGAGCGCCATATCTGCCTGCACACCACCATGCTCCCCACCATGAATGATAATGGGCTGAAAGTCTGAACTGTAAGCCACCCCCTCAAATAAATGTTTTCCTTTATAAGAATGTTTCCTTTATTGCTGTGGTCATGATGCCTTTTCACAGCACTAAAAGCCTTAGCTAAGATAAGATCGAGCTCAGGGGGCTGGAGAACTGGCTCAGAGGTTAAAAGCATTGGCTGCTCTTCCAGAGGTCCTGAGTTCAATTTCCACCACTCATGGGGGTGACTCACAACCATCTATATTGAGATCTGATGCCCTCTTCTGGTATGCATGTGTATGCGCAGACAGAACACTGTATACATAATAAATAGATCTTAAAAAAAAAAAAGAGCGAACTCAGGTCCTCAGGCTTTGTAACAAGGTCCTTTACCTGCTGAGCCTGGTCTCACCAGTGTAAACTTATTTATTTCTTTGTAAAACAGTCTTGGCTGTCCTGAAACTTGCTTTGTAGACCAGGCTGGCCTAGAACGCAAAGAGAGAGATTCACCTGCTTCTGCCACCCAAGTGCTAGGATTAAAGGCATGTACCACCAACGTCTATCCTTCACCAGTGTAATTTTTTAAAATAACCTTTTTGTGGTAGAAAATTAAATGTTGAGAAGATTACTTAGTGCAAGTTTTTCGAGATTTTACTGGGATATGGATCCTTGGGAAACAGCTCAGTGGTTACAAGTATGTGCTGTTCTCTGAGGACCGTTAGGTTTTTCAGCACCCATGTTGGCTCACAACTGCCTGTAACTCCAGTTCCAGGGGGTCAGATGTCTGCACTTTTAGGGCAACTACATTCAAATTTACATACTTACATGCATACACAAGTATACATAATTAAAAATAATAGAGCATGAACAAGGATGACACCAGTAGACATACTAACATTGAAGGGGGAAAGTTCAAGTTTATCCCTAGACAAAGAATTACAGGTAGCTAGCTGGGCGTTGGTGGCACACACCTTTAATCCCAGCAATCGGGAGGCAGAGGCAGGCGGATCTCTGTGAGTTTGAGGCCAGCCTGGTCTGCAAGAGCTAGTTCCAGGACAGGCTCCAAAGCTACAGAGAAACCCTGTCTCGAAAAACAAAACAAAACAAAACTAAAAAGAAAAAAAGGGTAAGGTTGGGGGGTACATAGGAGGGTTTGGAGAGAAGAAAGGGAAGGGGAAAATGATGCTAATCTAAAAAAAAATGTTTAAAAAAAGAACAGGAAGGATATTTCAAAAATTACTGGGATGTAATACAAACAAATTAACCTTATGACCTCATTAAATCACCAAGATATTTAGAGTTATATTATTTCAGTGAATATTTACATTTACAAATTAAAAAAATGAGTTACCACCTAAAATAGAAAATTCAACATTGAAATGTTTGCGTGTATATATATATATATATATATATGTGTGTGTGTGTGTGTGTGTGTGTGTGCACACATGCACGCACGCACACGCACATACAGAAGCATGCCTTACATTGTAGGAAACAGTGTTTTCTAACAACTTGAATATTTTTTTAAAAAATCTTAATTTTATATGTTAAAGAGGGAAATATTAGTTGTGAGACTATCTTCTGGCCAGAATGCAAGGAGGGGCAGGGATACAGAACCCAAAGAAGAGGTCTAGGTTTTGTTTTTCTTTATATTATTTAGGGTTGAGGATTAAACCCAAATCCTAATCCATAAATGTGCCCCTGGGCTATGTCCTCAGCCCCACTGCTATTGCATGCGAAAGAAGTCTGCTGAGCTTTTGCTGCTGGAAGGCGACCAGATCTCACCCACTTTCAAAGGCCTCTCCTCTAGCTGGGCCTCAGGACGCCTCCCCCATTATCCCCTCCAATTCCTCTGTAATCAAATCCTCTGCTCCTCTGAGACTGAAGTCGCCTGCGGCCACCTGTCAGCTCTGGGCCATTCTCCACAGACTAGGGATTTTAGCACTTGACTTCCTTTATCTCTAGTCCTGTCGTTCTGCTGTTAGCAGCATCCATTCCGGCAGGTAGTTCCACAGCGCCTGTTTTCCAGATTTGGGGCCCAGTGAGATGGCTCGATGTGCGGAAGTGCTGGCTGCAATGCCTGATGGCCTGAGTTCTGTCTCAGGACCCACATAGTAGAAGGGAAGAACTTACTCCTACAGGCTGTCCTTTGGCATGTACTTATCCTAGGCCTGCTAATGAATGAATGTGAAATAATTCTAGCTGCAAATCTGGGCTGAGGAGATGGTTCAGGGTACATCAGTTGAAGCTGCTATGAATTAATTATAACCAATCCCAAGTGGGCACTTAACAGCGCCAAGGAACCGTTGGTACTTTTGCATGGTACCCTCTGCCCGTCCCCACTTTCTGTATCCATGCTTCTGGCTTGCTAACTTTAAGGGGTCTGAAGGGCAGTGTCTGCTTTGTTCACCGCTGAATACCCAGTGCTCTTTCAAGTGTGCAGTACCGAATGATCAGGTCAGAGTGCGCAACACAGCTGGTGAGGACACAAGAGACATGACAGAACAGTGGAGCCAGGGCATGCTGTCTAACATCTCATCTCTCTGTAGTCTGACCTCACGTGTCACACAGGAGCATTGCCGTCAGTGTTGGAGGGGCTGATTAACACACAGTCGCCAGCGCTCTCAGGGAAGATCCTTGAGGAATGGCTTTTACGCTGGAGACATGTTGATGAAACCAGAGAAAGTGAGTCGTAGCGTCCTTAAAATCAATTATCTGGGCATGGTGGCTTGCATCTTCCAGGATACCACTCAAGCACAGGCAGGCAGATATCTGTGAGTCCAGCGCCAGCCAGGCAAACATAGCAAGATCCTATCTCAAAAAATTGTCAATAATTGCCATCATTATTATTGTATATGTATGACGTATGTGTGTGGGCTAGTTACAGCATGCTGT